CTGCCTTGCGGGCTTCTTGTTTGCGGCTCTTGGCGGCCTCATCTGCTGCTGCAGCCTGCTTATTTTTTGCTGCAGCAGCAGCAGCAGCAGCAGCAGCACGGCGCCTTGCTTCTGCTGCTTCCCGCTGCTCTGTCTCCAGCCTGTCAAACTCCTCTATCAGTCGAGTTTGCTGCGGTGTAAGCGAGCTGGGCAGCTGCAAGCGCATGCAGCAGCAGCAGCAGCAGGTATGTAACACCGAGCAGAAGCAGCAGCAGCAAGACTCGCTTGAAGCAGCAGCAGCAGCCCCAGAGGCGGCCGCAGAGATCGCAGCAGCCCTCGCAGTAGCAACCCCAGCAGCAGCAGCAGCAGCAGGACCCTCAGCAGCAGCAGCAGCATCCCCAACAGCAGCATCAGCATCCCCAGCAGCAGCAGCATCCACAGCAGCAACAGCAGCATCCACAGCAGCACCCCCCGCATCCCCCGCAGCAGCAGCAGCATCCGCAGCAGCATACCCAGCAGCAGCAGCAGCATTCCCCGCATCCCCAGCAGCAGCAGCATCCCCCGCATCCCCAGCAGCAGCAGCATCCCACGCATCCCCAGCAGCAGCAGCAGCAGCAGCAGCAGCTTACGCTGAGTTGGAAGTGCAGCACGAGGTTTCCTGCTGCAGTCTGCTGCTGCAGCCGGGGGGGCCCCCTGCCCTTGAGGACTTTGAGGGCCCCCGGGGGTGTCTGCGGAGACACCTGAAGAGTGAGGGGCCCCTCGAGTGTGGGGACGGCGACGCGGCCGCCGAGGAGGCACTAAAAAGGCGAAAAAAAAGCGAAAAAGAAGCGAAAAGGAGATTTTGAAAGCTCAAAATGAATCAAATTCGATTTTAATGCATTTACTTCGACCCCAAAACTCAAAAAAGCTCTTAAAATGAACAAAAAGAACCAAAAATGAAGAAAAACGAAAAAAGTTCAAAAAAATGCGACTTCCTGTGCGCAAGGGCAAATGGTATGAAATTGAAATGCAGAGAAACAGAAAAAAGAAATTTTAGATCATTTTAATTCCTTTTATTTATTCTAAATTAAGATTATTTACTTATTTATTCATTTATTTATTTATTATTTGTTTATTTATTTTTGTTTTATTTAATTACCTGCTTTAGAGACAAAGGCACATCTGCATGCAGGTCGTCGTCAATCCAGCGGAAGACCGCGTGGGGCCGAATATTTATCTGATTTAAAACAATTAAAATAAATAATTAAATAACTAAAGTAAATAAATAAAACAAATAAATAGATAAAATAAATAATTAAAATTAAACAGCAGCAGCAGCCGCAGCGGAGCAGCAGCAGCAAAGATAGCGGCGATCACCCAGCAGCAGCAAAAACAGCAGCAGCATCAGGAACAAAAGAAAACACCAACGGCAGCAGCAGCAGCAAACAACAGAAGCAGCAGCAGCAGCAGCAGCAGCATCAAGGCTTATTAACTTACGCTAACGAACAAATGCCCCGGCTTTCCTCCCCTCAAGCCCGCGTGGCCCTGGTTGGGCACCCGCATCTGCATGCCGTGGCGAACTCCTGCAGCAGCAGCAGCAGCAGCAGCAGATGGAGTTTGGCAGCAGCAGCAGCAGCAGATGCAGTTGGGCAACAGCGGCAGCAGCAGAGGCAGCAGCAGCAGAAGCAGCAGCACGTGCTTGAGAGCTGCAGCAGCAGCGGCGGCTGTGCAGCAGCAGCAGCAATCCAAGCAGCAGCAGCAGACGGTGCAGCAGCAGCAACAGCAGCAGCAGCAAAGGATTACCTCTAGGCACATCAATGGTGACTGTTCGGGGCTGCATGCGAACGCCCGTCCCTCTGCAGCTTCTGCGGAGAAACACAAGGGTTTAGGGTTTAGGGTTTGGGGTTTGGCTTTTTGCGCGGGCTGCGCGCAGCCCGCGCAGCCACGCCTAGGGTTTAGGGTTTAGGGTTTCGCAGCTAGGGTTTGCAGAGCTAGAAAGGCTGGCAAGGGCCCCCACAGCTGCTCTAGGGTTTAGGGTTTGGAAACTAGGGTTTAGGGTTTAGGGTTTGAAGGAGAAAGCTAGGGTTTAGCGTGTGAAGCGCTATCTGCACCACCGCGGCCAGCGCGAGGGTTTAGAGTTTAGGTCCCCGCCCCCCGACCTCCCGAGGGTTTAGGGTTTAGGGTTTAGGGTTTCGGACTTGCAAGGGTTTGCAATAACTTGGCCACTCCCCCCACACTGCCTGCAGGGTACTCCCAGAACTAGGGGGCCCCTCTCAACCCTCTGTACCCCCGAGCCCCCGCAGCCCCAGCAGGGGGCCCCCTGGGGGCCCCCCGCGCTGCCGCTGCTGCTGCAGCTGCTGCAGCCCGAGTTCGCGCTGTAGCGCAGCGTCTGCAGCAGCAGCAGCAATAGCAGCACACGCAGCAGCAGCACACGCGGCAGTTGCGAAGGGTGTGCACATGCCGCAGCAGGAAAAGCAGGCGAGGAGCAGCAGCAGCAGCAACTGCAGCAGCTACAACTGCAACAGCAAGGGGACGAGAAACAGCAGCAGCAGCAGCAGCAGCACGAAGTCCAGCAGCAAGAAGTCCAGCAGCAAAGCCCCAACGAAGCAGCTTTTGCTGCAAAGTGACTCCCTCAGCCCCAAACCCTCGCTGCAAACCCTAAACCCTCGCCGCAAACCCTAAACCCTCGCCGCAAACCCTAAACCCTCGCCGCAAACCCTAATTACCTTTTCGCAACCCTTAATTGCTTCCATGAGATCTAAAGATAATTCTGTTTGAATATCTTCTCCTCTGGAGGCCCCTGTGGGGCCCCCAAAAGCAGCAGCAAAACTGTGGGGCCCAAACCCTCCGCTGCTGCTGCTGCTGCTGCTGCTGCCGCGAGCCATCGAAGCAAAAAGATCCGCGAAGTCCGTAAACAGCATTGAAGGGTCAAAACCCTCAAAACCACCTGAAAGCAGCAGCAGCAGCAGCAGCAGCAGCAGACTCTTCGGCATTTATAAATCGAAAAAAAGAGATAATAAGGCTGAAAAAGAGACGGAAAGAAAGGAACAAAATAATAAAAAGAAATAAAACAGAAGAGAAGGAAAAAGATGTAAAAGAAATTAAAAAAAGAAAATCCAAAAAGGGCCCCTCACCTCCTGCTGCTCCTGCTGCTCCTCCTGCTGCTGCTGCTGCTGCTGCGTCTTCTGGCCGAACTCCAGTCTTGTCATAAAAGTCCTTTTTCTTCGGGTCGCTCAGAAACTCGTAAGCCCTGCACAAACCCTAAACCCTAAACCCTAAACCCTAAACCTTAGACAAATGCTACAACAAAACACGCCTGCTGCTCCCCTCTCCCTCAGCTGTATGTACACCCCAGCCACCACCTGTCTATACACCCCAGCTACCGCATGCAGCCTCTTGTGGGGCCCCAAGGGGGCCCCCATTGGGGGGCCCCCCCAGGGCCCCCTAGTGGGGGCCCCCTCCTACATCTTGGGTTCAACCTGCTGCAGGGGCGGCTTATAATTGGCTGATTTGTGCCCTTTAGGGGCCCCTCTAGGGGCCCCTGGGGGCCCCTCGGGGGCCCCCATGGTGTCCCCTGGGGACCCCTCTAAATTGCTGATAATAAAACTCTAGCAGCAGCAGCGGGGGGGCCCTCGCCACGGGGCACAGGCCTAAATGCGGGTAGCCCTGGGGGCCCCCTGGGGGCCCTTTGAAGAGCTATATAAACCCCAAAGGGGGCCCCTCAGTACCCTCTGAGGGGCCCTTGGGGGCCCCCACTAGCGCGCCCCAGGGGCCCCTCCAACCCACTCGTGGGCCCCCCAGCAGCAGCCACATGAGGGGGGCCCCCTGGGGCCCCCCAGTACCCTC